AGAAAAATAGTGAAGTAGAATACAAATATATGTTCTGGGTGAAACGGACCTTTGCCTGTACAAAATTTGATGCTATGACGCCATGGCTTCATTATGCAGTTGATAATGTGTTCTAGATGCAGTCACTAGGGTTTTCTGGTTGGTTGCCTGATAAAAAACCTCATCCCAAAGTCTCCATAATATTCTGGTCTGTAGATATGGCTCCTTCAATGCACGGTTATGGGATTTTAATGTTCATTTTATAGTACACCAGGTGAAAATGTAAGCATGATGACTTAGAAAATGGTGCATAATTTAAGGAATCATTTACATCCGTAGCACAAACCCTACAGAACGCTGGCTTAGCACGATTAAAAATTGGGTGTGGGAAAAGCATGTTTTCACCTCCCACTTTCACATTGAGCTTGTGAAAAGTTCAGGACTGAATCACAGGGTCTATCCATGTCATTAATGGTCAAGGTAACCTGATAGAGGGTCTACATGCTCAACTCTCTAAAAGCATCATGTATTCATTCACCCAAGCCTGTAATCAGAGGGTTGGGCTTCTGTTTACACTTTGTACCAGATAAACGCCCAGCCCCCTTCTGAAAAAAAAGGAGAGAGGCCATTTTCCCACACAGTTCCAGTGAAAAAAACATTAAATACTTAACATTCCTTGTCATGGAATAATGGAGCAGCCTTTAGCATATCAAATCACATGGGAAAACAACCCTCGACCACAGAATGCTTCACACTGTGAAACAATGACCATTCAGCTGGCCTTTAAATTTTCCAGCACATTTAAGATCTTCCTCCAGAGTTTCAATTACGCGAATGCCACCCCCATCAATATACCGCTTGGGCACATTTGATGCGGTTTTTAGATACCCTATTTTTAGATGCTAGTTATTTCCTTATTTTATGGTGCAATGCCAAACATTTGTGCAGTAAGTGTCTGATATCAGAAATAACAGAAGGCGAATCTGAGAACTACCGGATTGTTTGCTGTTAATGGGGTTTAAAGGGAAAAGGTGCAGCACTAAATTTAGTTCTCTATTTATGAGGACAGTATGTAGTTGCAAATAAAAATTCTAGTGTAAAATCATTCATGCACTGCAAGTATTTTCAAAAAAATGTTATCCAATTATTTTTACCTCAATTTTTTTTTTATAAAATTATAAATTAATAATGTGAACATTTTGGGGGAAGTTGCACTACATGATTTTTGGCAATCTAAACTAACCTTGCCTTGTCATAAAAAGGTAAATAAAATAATAATAAAATTAAATTAAAATTAATAATAATAATATCATTTCACACAGCTTTCGCATTGTTTTTCACATACTGAACACACTACATGACTTTGATATTGTGGATAACATTAATAAATAATAATACATCAGAATAATATTAAAATAGTATGCATTATAATGCACTTTTTAAATACATTAATAGATCTGGACAAGGCAAAACATGAGTGTCATGATTAACCTAAAAATGTGGAGATTTCTGTAAACATTTGTATAAGTGATACTGAAAACAAATTGTTAATCCATGTCATTGAAAAAAAAAAAGACTGGAATTATGGAAATTAATCAAACTTCTCAACTCTAGCAGCATATTAATGAGGATTACAACAGAAATACTATTACAATACTCATGGATCATGACTATGTGCAATTGCAATGCAGCATTGGTCTTTAGAAATCGTGTGGTCTTTAAGAAAAAAAAGGTAAATAAAATTATAACAATATTCACAATGTATATATATATATATATATATATATATATACCATTTTTATTTATTTTTTTTATAAAAGAAGGCTTCAGTGCCCTCTGTAAGGTCAAGTGCCAGAAGCACGGTGGCCGACTTCCCAACTTCTATGCCCATCAATACACACAGAGCTGAAGAGAGACACAAACCGATCGTTTAATGCCACCCTTGGCTGGATTTCAATGAAGCGTCCGCAAGACTGAGCAAACAGAGACAGACCATGTGTGAAGACTAATGAAGCCAATGATCACTTTTGCGTCGCCAGGTACCGCATACAGTAAGACGATTCTGATATATGACATGGTGCATTAGAAAGAATATTGATTTCTCCTTTTGTCTCTCTCTCCTGCTCTTTTACCGGCAAAGATTGATGTCACTGCATTGATTCCCAATCAATCAATTTATTCTCATTTTATTAATGCCTAAGCAATCGCTCAGTGTCCTTATGAAAAGCAATGCATCTCAATTACATGCACCTGGTAAAATAAAATGTTTAGGGATGATTTGCTGAATTGCAATTGGCTTTTTCGCAAGTTTGCCAAGTTATCGGACACTCAAATTGATAATTGCTACACAAAATGCATTAAATAAGTCATTGAGGAACATGAACACTAAATAAATTGCATATAAGTGTGCTTTCGTACAGCCAAATTAAACAAACACAGATACGCAATGTCTTTTGTTTGTAACCACAAACAAAACAGGCATTGATGGTATTGCTGTCACTTTGGGGTTCCAGTTTCCAGTTTTAATAAAACACAGCTACTGGCGTGTGTTTCCTCGCTTCAGCAAATCCAATTGGAAATGCTTGGCCTGTTCCATGTCTGCGCTGTATTAAGGCTAATTAGTGTCTCAGTCTATTTGCATAGTGACTAGTTTCCGGCTATTCTCTGCCCGCTGACCCGTGTGAGCGTGCTGCTCGCAGGATCAACTTTTCCTGAAAAGAACGGCCAATAATTGTTTTCGCACGCATCAAGGGATGGGTACTCACGGGATAAATGGCCCTCTATACGGCGCATCATTTAGAAGGGAAAAAGAACAACATGCAACAACTTACTGATTGTAGTGACACTGATGTATTAAAATGGACCCTGTGCGTAATTGCTCTTTCCTGTGGCTACTGTGCAGGGAGGGTTGCATAATGATGATAGAGTTTAGAACCTTGCTAAAAGAGATAAAGGCTGCCAGGGCCCACCGCAGAGTATTTTCTGGACACTTCCTTAATGAAACATCCCGCTGGATAATGCACTCGGGCGATATGAATGGGGATGAAAAGAGAGTCGAGTGCCAACTTTCCATTGTGGATTGCTTTGTTGTTGCACAGCATTGCCACTGTGTTGTCGTTTCGTTCGTTAGTCGATAGCCACGCGTTCTCTTTCAATGCACATTGGCTACCGGGTCACATGTCTCTCGCTCAGTTATGACATCTGGAACACTCAGGTCAGTTTAACGCGAGGCGGTGTAAAGCATGACATTAAGACACACTGTTAAACTGCAACTCATTGTTGCAGTTCAATTTCAATGGGTTTAAAAGGACAGACGCTGAGGTCCAGAGTGACAGACTGTCCCTCAATGGCACTCTTTCAGTTCAAAAGCAGGCTGGACAAAGCCATTGGCTGGAATGTCTGACCTTTGCCAATGATTAACAGTTGCAACACTTCACCTATGACAAGCAGCTCAAAAATTCCTTCGAATGACTATCATGGCCAGGCACTGCAGCTCCAAAGACACCGCCATATGACTGAATCAGATGCTACGAGTTACAAATATGGCCCCAGCTGAGAGCTACAATGGGGACTCAGTTCTCCAGAGGTTAGCACCAGACTATACTGTGGCGCTGTACAATGGCACTCTGTTCTGGAAATGTTGTTTGTAACATCTCTACTGAATTCAGAGGACAGGAGGCCGGATCGGCGTGTAAATTAACTTTACCCACAAGCGATAAAAGCGGTATCTCTCAATTTCTGAGCCACTCCAGAAGATTAAGTGATTACTTTGTGAATCGCTAGTGTTAAAAAAGACAAACGATAGACTCAGTACAGGCTAAATCAGTTGTTTAAAAATCTAATCAATCATCCGAAACAATTATCCATCCATTGAACATGGACTATACCCATATATATGTATATTTGTCTATTCACAGTTAATTTTGAGCAAGACAAATGTAACATCTCACTAAATAAAGAATGCTAGAGTGAAATCTGTGCATGATAGTTATTCTTTTTGATTTGTTTTACACTGAACTACACATCCATATTTTAAAGCCAATGATTCACTCTGTAGAAAGTGACTTTATTCAAGCCAAGGTAAAATGAATGAATCCCTACAAATGTCACATACTATAATACTCTTATTGCTTCAGGAGTATTCAGTGTGCAGTATGCAAGCTGTATGCTTAATACACCCAAATTACCTACTGTATTTCACAAAATGTGCATTTTTGAGCATACTGCACAGAATATTTTATCCCACAATATTCTCCACTTCACCGTTCATTTCCATTTATGAATGAACCAGAAAACATATCAGTCACAATTTATCTCCCTCTTGACTCATTATTTAATGCCATGTATTTTACACAAAATTGGGTAATGAGTTCATGTGACATAAATGTAGCATACTGCACTGTGGATTATTTTATTATTATTATTATTATTATTATTATTACTGTGCAGTATGAAATACACTTATTGCATTAAAGGGGTCATATGATGCGATTTCAAGTTTTCCTTTCTCTTTGGCGTGTTACAATCTGTTCGTGAATAGATAAGATCCCTAAAGTTGCAAAGACTAAAGTCTCAAACCCAAAGAGATATTCTTTATAAAACTTAAGACTCGTCCACGCCCCCCTAAAACACCTAGTCTTGTTGTTTGTCGTTTCTCCGATCACAAATTGCAGACATGGTTTTATGTTTACACGGTGTCATGCACAATGTGCTCTGGCCAAATTTCACTCTTTTATCTGCAGCTACAGTGATTTTTATGAGAAAAAGTTTGTTTCTTTGATTTTTGAAGACTTTGAATGTATCCTCTTACTACAAATGGAGTGCAAGTAAATGTAACCTTAAAATGAAGTCTATAAAGTCTGAAGAAGCTTTCTGTTAGGATTCCTATTCATTTCAAAGGCAGCTGCTTGGCTGGCACACTCAGAAGAAGGCCATGTGATATGTAATTTAATATACATTAAAGGGGTCATATGATGCTTTTTTAAAGATTATTATTTTGTGTATTTGGTGTAACAGCTTGTCACACTTTATCTTCGATTCATCAATATATATACATTTTTCTGTCTTTTGTTGCCTGATACTTGGGATTGCAATGGATGTTCTACCAATGTGCAGCATATTTCAGGAACTTCAGATCGTTCACGACACTGGCTACTTCTCTGCATTGCCGTCTCTTGAAGAATACTGGCAACAGGTAACCATGTTTAAAGTGAAGTGGCGAACACGTCCGCTGATGTAGAATGTGTCTGTATGTCTACCTTATAAAACAAACTTGTTTTGGCGTACAGAGTATTTTTTTACAGTTTTTGAAGCGTCGGGACTGGCGAGTCAGATCTGTATCGTGAGCACAATATCGTGAGGGAAATATTTGTGGTTGGATCACTTTTTTCTTGTGCTTTTCGTACTCGAGCATAGACTGGTTGATTTGACAGTCTGCAGCACATGTTCTGTCACATAACTGGGTATATAGGAGGTGTTTATGAACTGTCATAGCTGACAGAACTGATATTCTTGTGATTGAACTGTTGCAGTCGTATTCTTGGCACGATAGTATGAATGTTTCTGCTTAAAGTGATTCAGGTAGTTTCCCTCAGGCTTTTTGGGATTCTGAATTCATATGAATGTATCTCTTGGCACTTAAACATGCTTTTGCATCTAGTTGCTTCTGGCTGTTAAAGAGATAGATCATCCAAAATGCAAATCTGTCATCATTTCAAACCCATTTATTTCGTGGGGGGGGAAAAATGTTAGGCAGGATGTTAGCGACTGACAGCCTCAGTCACCATTCACTTTACATTGCATCTGTTTCCATGCAACGCAAGTGAATGGTGACTTGCACTGCGCAGGAGGGGACGCCTCTCCGGACGGCAGGAGGAGAGTGCACAGGTGTCACTTCAACGGCTGCCGGAAGGTTTACACGAAGAGTTCTCACTTAAAAGCACATCAGCGGACTCACACAGGTAAGAACCTTCGCTGTTAGCTGTGATGTTGCTCCACATTGTCTCTATCAAACAGAAAGCGGAACCGTCACTGAGGTTTCACGTCTCCTGCGAAGTTGTGTAATGGAGCTGAGTTTACACAGGCTGTCCTCAGCTGCAAGGCTAATGTCACTCTGTGAATATTTGCCTGGCATGACTGCACGCCTAAACGGTGACCTAATCTGTTTGGAATGCGGCCGAGGCCAGGAAGGAGGGGGGATCGGATGGGGGAAGGGAACGAAAGCCAGCCAGGGTGAAAACAACCTGCTCTACCAAAACTGTTTTGGTTTCGTCATGGGAAAGATCCAGGCTTTTGAATGGGGATCTGGGTGGCCCCTTTTTAAAAGGGCCCCTTCGCATTCAAAACGGTCTCCGTGTGACGTGCATTGTTCGGCGCACTGTTTATGCATACGCAGCATAGAGACGGACTGTTGGCATACCGTGCATTCCCGCAATGCTTGAGGGATCTTATTAAAGTTAAGACCGCGTGACCTGATGCATAAACATGCATCCTGTTTACAGATGCATTTTTGAGAGCGTTAGCGAGCACGCTGTTCCACATTCCTTTCAGACTTGTGAAAGGTCTTTGTGTTTTTGTTTACAGGTGAGAAGCCGTACAGGTGTTCATGGGAAGGCTGCGAGTGGCGCTTTGCGAGGAGCGACGAGCTAACCCGACACTTCAGGAAGCACACCGGTGCAAAGCCATTTAAATGCAGTCACTGTGACAGGTACGCTCAGTTCTGTCTCGCTATCTCTCCCTGTGACAGTCATCAAAGCCCGTCTGTTTCTCTCTTGATGCGTGCGTCAGTGAAACGCGACGGATTCTGCATTCGGCATTGATTCGGTTTTATCGGTTCATCGATGGGAGTCGCCCCATTATGTTTGGATTTTATCACTTAATTACCTAATCGCATTAAATGCTTGACAGCGCAATAGTCACACTGTCGCAATACTTTATTGATATTCTCTGCGTTTTATGACCAAATGCACCTCTCCTGTTTGTCATCACTTCCTCTGTTAATCATTTCCCTCCCTGAGAGCTTTGCGCTTTGAACACCATTGTTTGCTCAACTTCCCTTTTTGGTGTTTTGTTTCCATGGTTACTGGATGCGAAACATTTCATAGTTCTCCTTTAAAACAAAACATTAGATCAAGTCTTTCCTTCTATTCAGAGTTTTTGCAGAATCGGAACACCCAGCATTCATAAAGTTCAGCAAACTTTGGATAATTTCATACATTTAATGCTTTCAGATCGCAATAAAAGTTTACTATTCTCCGCTTGAGACTCAACGATAAGGTTTGGGGCTGGTGCTCAGATTATTATAACCTTGAGAACATTTTATGTTTATTTGTAGTATTTTATTAAAATTGTATTTTTATGTGTGTACTTTATTGTGCAATTAAAGTACAGTATGTGCAATAACCTTATAATTATTTATCACCCTAAACCCTAGTACATCCCTACAACTTATTTTATTTTATTCTATTCCTATTCCATCTATACCACACCTGTACATACAATTGATTCTTTTTTTGTGGTTTATATTTATGCATGTTTATTTTATTCACATCTCATTTTTATTATCTGTGTGTTGTTGTTGTCTCATTGTACTGGAAGCTTGTGACACTATAACAAATTCCTTCTCTGTGCAAACATACTTGGCAATAAAGCTCTTTCTGATTTCTAATATTTTCCTAAAAAAAACTAACCTTTATTATTCATTACAAATTTTATTTTTAAAATCAATTTATTTTTTCATTCGCTCCGTAGTGGCGGATCCCACCACAAAATAAAAAAAAAATTGAATTATTTATCATTTTTATGTGTATAATAACATGTGTGTGTGTGTATATATATATATATATGTATATTTCATAATATATTTCTAGCAAAATTATTTATATATATATATACACATACATGCATACATACACATATATATATACACACACACACACACACACACACAAACATTAAATTAAAAAACTATGAATATAACAATGAACAATGAATATATCATTTTGCAACCAGTTTAAATATCTTCTGCATATTTTCTCAGATTTCTCATTATAAATACAAAACTGCTTATTTTCTCTACTAATTCTGCACTAATTCTCTCTTTCCTTACATTAGCCTTCAAAGCACCTATTCCTGTTTGACAAATTCACCTCGAGGGCCACTAGGGGCCTCATCAGTGACGCAATGCACAGATCTCTACCTTTGATCGCGCTTTACGGCTTCAGTGGCCCCTGCCTGACCTTGTTTTTCACCTTTCCTCTCGCTGTTTCTTTCTCCAGGTGTTTCTCCAGGTCGGACCACCTGGCCCTGCACATGAAGAGGCACCTTTGAGCGGGCCGCAGCTTCACGCTGGGGATATGTTGTGTCCTGACCAGCTTCCTGGTTGACCTGGCCCTGCAAGAAATCGAGGGGGGGGAGTGTGTTCCAGCCAAAGCATGCCATTTTGCACCATATCCTGTGCCTCCGTGAGCCCCGGGATAAAGGCGGACTGACTGGTTGTTGAAACGAAAAAAGGAAAGGACAAAATCACGTATGAAGAACCGAGGATGATTTATAAAAAAAAAAAAGCAAAAGTAAAAAAAAAGCAAAAAAAGAGCGAATGAATGGTGTGTTGTATGGTGCATGATGTTTCGGGACAACTCCTGGACTATACACTGGTACTTTAAAAGAAATCCTAAAGAGATCCTGTTTGACGTGAGCGGATGAATGTCCCGTGTGCGAAGAAGGGTGGGAGGGGGGTGCCAGTGTATCGCTGTGGGCTGAATGGTGTCGGGGAACAAGTTCCGTTTTTGTTTCCGTGCGGTATGCAAGAACCGTGAATGAAGCCGTGAGACTGAAAACTCCTGCCTGACGCCCCCGGGCTCCGGGATTCTGGGGGGCGTAGCGGCCAGGGTTTCACCCCCTGCCCCCATCTAAAGGGGGGCGGAAACTCTGTCCTGAATGAAAGTGGCTTTTTTGGTGTTCGGTGCAGCTACTAAATGTGCAATGTGTTCGGTAGCTTGTTATTTGACAGGCTACAAAAGCTCATTTGTAGTCCGTTGTATAAGCTGTGTGCTTAGAGATGTAACACAATTATAACTTCACTATCATAAACAGGTGTTGCATGGTATTGGGGTTTGTACCTTTTTTTTTTTTTTTTTTTTTTTTTTTTTTTTTTTTTTTTTTTGGACTGAAAAATAATTCCAAAAAACGCCACATAATTTTTGTAATTGGGACTGCAAATAGATTCCAATAAAGCGCAGCTAAATACAATTGGGTTAAATGTTACAATATTGTACATAAACGCATTGATCATTCTTCACTCTAAATTCCCTCTTTTTTTTTTCTTTCTGGTGGAGGGAAGAATCCTATCGATCATCGACCACTTCATACAAGACTCGTTTTGTCATCTTGAAGACTAAATGCTCTCTTTCTATCCCTGTTGATGCACTGTTGGCCTTAATGGTGCCTTATGCAAGTGACCTTTCCCATTGGGGGGTCACAAAATGTCTTGTATAAGTGATTGAAAAAGCTTTATTAAGGCTCTGTTTCACCTGAACATGCACCTTTCCTATTTCCGAGGCCACTGTAGCCAAGCCCTTGTAGATAAGTAATATATTGTTATTCTTGAGCATGCGATTTTATTATTATACACACCCTCACGTTTCTAGATCTGCAAGCACTTAAAGTACGGATTTGGTATCTACTGAACGTTTTGAATACGCTTTAGATGCAAGATCTCTGTCTGTGGAGGAGTGTGCAAGACAAAAAGCTCTTAAAGTGCGAAAACAGGCCGTTGTATAACACAAGGCCGAAACCCCCCTGTCCCCTGTAACGAAGAATAAAGGGAAAAAAACGGCTAAAGATTTATTGTAATTAACAAGCTGCAGTCAGACAGGCCTTGCCTTGTACTGCCTCTCTGTAATGAATTGCTGAAGGCCCTGCCTGCTACAGACTGCTGACTCAGGCAGTTCGATATTGACCTGTCTGGATGCCGTTGTTTTAGTCCAGCGACAGTATTGTGGAAACAGTGCACAGCCATCCAGAAAGATAAAGATATATCACCCCCCTTTTCAACATTTACAATGGAAATTTACGGACGTGGGCTCGAACGGCGCATGGAGAAAGCCTCTCGGCTGGCTGTGTGCGTTTCTTTTGCGATCTGAAATGTAAACTATAATGTTTTCAGGGACCAAACGATTGATTAAATTTATTGTACATAGTTATATGCTTGAATTATTTGAGTTCAATTGCTCTGGTTTCTTGAGCGAAGGAGGTTTGACACTGTTGCATGTCGAGCAGCTACGTGGATATGAATTGTTTCAGTGGGAGAAAAGTAACTTGAAGCAGCTTGTGCTGCCATTAAATCAGACCAGCCTGGGTTTTGTGGGAAAAGAACATTGTGTCTTTCCAACAGTGGCCAATATTAGTCGAGTGGTAATGGAGCCTTAATCAAGTTTTCCATTTGCTTGCTTCATCCAACACTTTCTTCAACATCACTTATATTTTCTCTCATGAATCCCTCTTGTCTAAAGAATATTTGTACAAAAGAATAAAAACACAAAAGTTAGGATGAAAAATACACACACAAAAAAAAAAAAAACTTTTCTAAGATTTTTTTTTTTTGTTATTATTGTTTTTATTTTTTGCTTTATATGAATTTTATTTGAAATTGTTTTGCAAAATTGTTATATTTCTGTATGAATGTATTTTTTATTGGAATAATAAGAAATTCTTATCGGACCAGTTTGATTTGTTGTTTTGCTTCACTTTATTTCATTCGTCTTTTAGAATTTAGTGATTTAAAACTATGGTTCAATATTACAAAATTTTTCAGTGGTGGTTAGCAAAGTTGAACAAAACAACTAAACCTACTATACGTGTTAATCTTTGATAACCAAACTTTGTCTTACAGACAAGATGTGTCAAATTGAGCTTTTATGAACAGGCTTACAATTCACTTTGTGAATAAAATGAGTGAAAATCCCTGAGCCATGAGTCCAAAATAGACATAAAGGTCTTCTGACTTAATTGAACCAGTAAGGAACCGCTAAGAACAGTTTAGCAACTGCACTAAAACACACAGAACAGCTTGCAGCCACCTAGCTATGCCATTTCATTATGGCAGTAATGTTTGTGCAGACAAGCACCTCTTCTTCAGAAAATGTAAAAGTCTTTAATATAATATAAATGCAAGGTGCTTTCAAAAGAGGGATCTTTTGTAAATACTACCCGAGACCTCACCAGAGTGGAGGATATGCCGATGAATGACAATTACCTGCTTTAGCGGTGAAACACTCATGCTATAAATTCCTCGCTCTCATATGTTGTGCAAAAGTTGCTCTCAACACCCACTGGAGGGGATGTTCCACAGGCTTGTCAAAATAGACGTGTTCCCACAGAAAAACTTTGTGAATTGCTAAAGGGGGAAACATGCCTGAGGTGATTCCTGGCAGGTGGGGCGCTGAAATATTTTGCCATGGATTTGTTGGCTTTTCTAAACATTGAAAAATGGCCACTCGTCTGTTTACTTCTCAGCATCATGCTGAAGATGTATTCTATGTTTCCGCCACTGAAGAAAAAAATAAAAAAAACGGGTATTGCGACGTTTTATCTCACAATTCTGACGTTTTTTTCTCAGAATTGCATGATATGAACACCGTTGCGAGTTCTAAAGTCATAATTGTGAGATATAAAGTCACAATTGCGAGAGAAAAACTCACAATTCTGACATTTTTTCTCGCAATTTCGAGTTTATATCTCGCAATTCTGACTTTTTAACTTGCAATTGCCATTTTACATCTAGCATTTCTGAGAAAAAAAGGCAGAATTGCGAGTTTGTATCATGCAATTATTAGAAAAAAGTCAGAATTGCGAGTTTGTATCACGCAATTATGAGAAAAAAGTCCTTTTTAAATTTTTTATTCAGTGGCGGACGCTTCCATAGTATTCCATCTGTAATCCGTAATATAAATGGATCAAAATTTATTTAATGTTAATTTATATATATATATATACACACATGTACGCGCGCACACACACACACACACACACAGTAATTAGGAATTTTGCATTTTTTAATTAAAAAATCATATTGATACATAGTATAACTGAAATATTCATATGGATACATGAATATTCATCACTTTGATTGGTCCAAAATTGATAATTGTTATCCAGCATTATCTTATAATGTTCCAAAGAGCATCTTGGTTTCGATGGACGTAGTAAATATGACCGTCTGTGCAAAGTTCACACGAGTTCACATGTTCAAAGAACCCAATTTAGTTGTTCAGTGACCTAGAAATAGTGCAGATTCTTATATGTATTTAGAATAATATCATTAATAATAATAATAATCATTATTATTATTTCCAGCTTTAAATGGTGAAATAAAAATCTCTGTTTTGGACTCCACTATACCTGTCATCTCATCCAGACGCCTCATTTTATTAAGGGTGAAGTTTCACAACAGGCCAGTTCACTGAAGGTGGAAATCGTGGGAAACTTGTTGCATTACATAACTCAATTACGGCTACGCCTCTGATAATACAGCAGTAGTTTTCCATGTTTCTCAGTGCTATGCTGATGTTGACGCTACAGCACTGAGCTGCACTGAGAAGTCGCTCATTATTCTGTGTAGCTGACAGATCCTAAAGTGGAAGCAATTATATGCAGCCTTGGAAAGTCACACAGCGACATCAGTCCTTTAAAGGTCAAGTACCCCCAAATCCATCATTAAATTTAACTGAAGGATCTCAGTCCATGATGTTTAAAAGGCAAGATCAATGTGTCAAAAGATCTATATTTATGTATGGCATTGTTTAATATGCCTTTAATAGCCATACAATTAGCAGGGCAGTTGAGGAACATGCTCAAAGAACTAAATGTTAGATGTGATGCATTAGTCGGTATGTGTGCGTGCTTTACCCTTGGGGTTCCCCTAATCCTGGATGACCAAATCTAGATAAATTGCTCTAGTATATGACACATGCCCTACCTTGATGTACATTTAGTCCAATCGCAGCCCACCATAATTCACAACATGCATTTGTAGGTATTCAAACGTAACTTTTTTTGTGTTTGAATAGAAACTTTGATTGTGCACACAAAAATGAAAATTCTGTCATTATTTACTCTGTATTACTCTATTGCGTTGAACACAATAGAAGACTTTTTCCCCCCTCATACATTAAAAGTCTAGTGATGTTTTGGACCCCACTGACTTTCATTGTATGGACAAAAAAAAGTATTATTTTGTCTAATTGGTTTAAAACGATTTGATGGTGAGTATATAATCAGAGAAGTTTAAAATTTGGGTAAAACACTTTCATTGTTTACATTTTAGATGTTGGCAATATGTTAATAGTGCACGTATTGGTGTCTAAACATAAAGAATATGCATGTGTTTTACTGCCAGACTTTATGTTCGAACACCTATGAATACTAATGAGATCTCGTCGCTGAACTACCTTGAACTTTGCATGCAGAGCAAAGTCAGCAGTCTTACTGAATCGTGGGCATTGTGATTTCTTGAGAAATTCCGAAGGCAACGTATTGTCAGGCGAGCTGAAATTAAAAGCAATGTCACAATATCAAAGGCTG